CCACTAAACTGTAATATTATTGGGTTGTTGTAGGTTTTTCGGGCTATATGGCCATGTTCTAGAGGCATTTTCTCCTGACGTTTCACCTGCATCTATGGCAAGCATCCTCAGAGGTAGTGAGGTCTGTTAGGATGCTTGCCATAGATGCAGGACGAACGTCAGGAGAAAATGCCGCTAGAACATGGCCATATAGCCCGGAAAACTACAACAACCCAGTGATTCCAGCCATGAAAGCCTTCAACAATCACATTATTATTAGTAATATTAATAATATAATGTATTTTTTTTATTTTTATCGTGTCAGGCAACCAGACAATAAACATTGTATTACATTTCTAACAGAACAAACAAACAGACAGATTAAAAAAACCACAAAGTTTGCAAGCTTGGTAGTTGATTAAATGTCCTTTGACCAGTATCTGGCCACTTAGAGTGCCTCTGGTGTTGCCGCAAGAAGGTCCTCCATGGTGCATGTAGCAGGGCTCACATATATAATTATAATATTGGATTATTAGTATTAGTATTATATTGTATTACATTGTAATATTATCAATATTATATGTATATGTATATGTATGTTGTTGTTCATTTGTTCAGTCGTCTCCGACTCTTCGTGACCTCATGGACCAGCCCACGCCAGAGCTCCCTGTCGGCCGTCACCACCCCCAGCTCCTTCAAGGTCAGTCCAGTCACTTCAAGGATGCCATCCATCCATCTTGCCCTTGGTCGGCCCCTCTTCCTTTTGCCTTCCACTTTCCCCAGCATAATTGTCGTCTCTAGGCTTTCCTGTCTCCTCATGATGTGGCCAAAGTACTTCAACTTTGTCTCTAGTATCTTTCCCTCCAGTGAGCAGTCGGGCTTTATTTCCTGGAGGATGGACTGGTTGGATCTTCTCGCAGTCCAAGGCACTCTCAGAATTTTCCTCCAACACCACAGTTCAAAAGCATCTATCTTCCTTCGCTCAGCCTTCCCTAAGGTCCAGCTCTCACATCCGTAGGTGACTACAGGGAATACCATGGCTTTGACTAGGCGATGGATCTTGCCAGTGTAATGTCTCTACTCTTTACTATTTTATCGAGATTGGACATTGCTCTCCTCCCAAGAAGTAAGCGTCTTCTGATTTCCTGGCCACAGTCTGCATCTGCAGTAATCTTTGCACCTAGAAATACAAAGTCTGTCACGGCCTCCACGGTTTCTCCCTCTATTTTCCAGTTGTCAATCATTCTTGTTGCCATAATCTTGGTTTTTTTGACGTTTAGCTGCAACCCGGCTTTTGCACTTTCTTCTTTCACCTTGATTAGAAGGCTCCTCAGCTCCTCCTCGCTTTCGGCCATCAGAGTGGTGTCATCTGCATATCTGAGGTTGTTAATGTTTCTTCCAGCAATATACATGTATATGTATATTATATTATATTATTAGCACAGTGCAGGAGACAAGGTGGAACTGTCTTCCTGGCCCCTCTCTTCACTCTGGTCCCAGAGCAGCAGTTGGTGCTGGGAGTAGGGGCGCCCACTGATCACACAGGAGATAAGATGGAACTGTCTTCCTGGCCTCTATTAAACTCGAGGACCTAGTGATTTGCTTCACTTCAGCACTTTATGGGGCCAGTTGTATACAACCAGCTTATATCCACAGCTATTGCTGCGTTTACCGAATCTTTTAAACAAGGGGGAGTTTTATATGTTTTATGTAATTTGCTATGTAAATTCAATTTGTTATCCATTTATATCTCTGTGTATTTGGCAGTACTTTGTATATTGTTGCACTAGTGAGTGCTTTTTGTAAGCTGCCCTAAGTCCCTTCAGAGAGATGGTGGCAGGATACAAATAAAGTGTTGTTGTTTTTGTTATGATAGGGTTCCTGAATGGGAAAGCATATTCAGATGCTGACAACAACTTTAATTACATATTAACACTATCTAAGTCATTTCCAATACAATTAACTTTGCAACGTTTGTTCAGGGGGAAGTTTGCCTCTGCCTTCCTTAGATGTTTAGAGGGTCACTTGCCAAACGTCACCCAATGGAGACCTTGTTGAACATTCAAACCACTGCCACATGCTGCTTCCATTGGAGCCATTTGTTGTTGTGTGCATTCAAGTCATTCCTGACTTATGACAGCCATAAGGACATTCTATGACAGAATTTTCTTGAAGATGTTTGTTTGGCGGGGGGGGGGGGGGTCTTTTGCCTTCCTCTAAGGCTGAGAAAGTGTGAGGTTTCATGACTGAGTGGAGATTTGAACCATGCTCTCTAGAATCGCAGTCCAATGCTCAAACTGCTACACCATGCTGGGTTTTCATCTGGAGCTGTTCTGCATTTAAAATAGCAATCTCTTTTATTCCCTCATTTAATTCTCCTTGAACTCTGAACATTCCTTGCATTTTTATCTTCAAAATGAAGTATAGAGTTGGCCTTTGTGAACAGATGGGTTCAGATACTATTTTTTTTTTGTATCTTCCCGTTGTGTTTCTTCTGCATCCCTAGCCCCAATCTGTGTTCTCAGTCCTGATGTGTTTGGGATACCTCTGAATATTTATTTATTTATCATGTCATCCGCAACCAGAACATTGTATTACATTTCTAACAGAACAAAACAAACAAACAGATAAAAAACCCCACAAATTTTGCAAACTTGGTAGCTGATTAAATGTCCTTTGACCAGTATCTGGCCACTTGGAGTGCCTCTGGTGTTGCCGCAAAAAGGTCCTCCATCGTGCATGTGGCAGGGCTCAGGTTGCATTGCAGCAGGTGGTCAGTGGTTTGCTCTTCTCCACACTCGCATGTCGTGGATTCCACTTTGTAGCCCCATTTCTGAAGGTTGGCTCTGCATCTCGTGGTGCCAGAGCGCAGCCTGTTCAGCGCCTTCCAAGTCGCCCAGTCTTCTGTGTGCCCAGGGGGGAGTCTCTCATCTGGTATCACCCACGGATTGAGGTGCTGGGTTTGAGCCTGTCTCTGAAGAGGTAATAATAATAATAATAATAATAATAATAATAATAATAATAATCTTTATTTGTACCCAGCTACCATCTCCTCAAGGGACTCGGCGCGGCTTACATGAAGCCAAGCCCAAAGTACATCAAACACAACATCAATAAACAATCAATAAAATACAAATCATATAAATCACAGGGGCAACTGGATTGCATAACCATTCATTTTAACCTGGATGTTCCATTTAACCATATGATTTTCTGTTTACTCAAAGACACTCTTTTGAGTCAAGGAAGGTATTTTTAGAAGTTGCTCCATAGCCCTCCTTGAAAATCTAGCATGTGTTCCAGGTTAGACCACCAAGGAGCTGGTTGGGACAGTCTGCTTGAAGCAATGAGCTGTATTGCAGGTCAAATATTTTTCTGTCAGATTATGTTCTAAAACTTATTTACTATAATAAAGTATATAAAAACTGCCTTTACCTCTCTCCCCCAATATTTTTTAATTAAAATATACACTGGCGGTCTCTCTTGCCACAGGTATTGGTACTCATGTAGAATATAAAGAGTTTACTTTACAAACATCACTTCATGGCAGACTTATAAAATGAACCGAGGTTCCAATTTTCACAGAAAAACTGAGCTGAGAAGAAGCATTATAATGTATTGGTAAAGGCCTCTGTGCTTTTCATGGCTGTAAATATTAAGAACTAAAATCTACATACATTTCTTTGAATTTAACTTTTCCTTATGTCCAGGTCTGTAGTGGAGCATGCTCTGGTATAAGCCATTTGTGCACATCTATCTAGTCCAGTGGATCTCAACCTAGGGTCCCCAGATGTTTTTGGCCTACAACTCCCAGAAATCCCAGCCAGTTTACCAGCTGTTAGGATTTCTGGGAATTGAAGGCCAAAAACATCTGGGGACCCCAGGTTGAGAACCACTGATCTAGTCAATAATCTATTTATCTTATGTATATCTTCCACCTATACTTCCTTCCACCCCCTTCTTCTCCCATTTCTCTTTAGATTTTCTTTCTATGCATTGCTTGAAAATTCCTGTCATTACCATATAAAACATTTGCAGAGTTTGCCTCAATTGTAGGAGTGTGGTTGCATTTTAGGTTCTTCTTATGCTATGAAGTGATCACTGTTTGGGTACAGAAACCAAATCCAAAATACCAGGTCGATGGCTGATGCTTTCTACCATATATACTCAAGAATAAGCCGGGGTTTACAGCCCTTTTTCTTAGGCTGAAAAAGACCCCCTTGGCTTATACTAGAGTCAAACTTTATTTATTATTTTACTCTGTTGTTGTTATTATTATTACATTTATTATTTCACTCTATTTAATATTATTGTTATTACATTTATTATTTTACTCTKTGTATTATTGTTATTACTTTTGTTATTTTAGTCTATTATTGTTATTATTACATTTATTATTTAAGTCTATTATTTCATTTATTTTACTTTAATATAAATGTTATTATTACATTTATTTTACTTTATTGTTATTACATTTWTTATTTTACTGTATTATTATTTTATGACATTTTTTATTTTGCTCTCTTTATTATTATTGGAAGGATACATAATTTCCACTGAAGAAGGGTAGAATAATGCTTTCATCAGAGTTGGACAGTCTTATCTTAAATTACTGTTTTATGTAAACATTCAAAAACATTTAATCTGCGGATGCTTCAATTAATGTAATTATATTGGTWTCTATTTTTCTTTTGAAATTTACCTGCAGCTGCTGCATTTCCCACCCTCGGCTTATACTCAAGTCAATAAGTTTTCCAGTTTTTGTGGTAAAATTAGGTGCTTTGGCTTATATTTGAGTCTCCATATACATAAGTATATACGGTACATCTTTTGTTTTGTAGACATATTTCCTGTTTCCACAACCCAGGAAGGCAGACTGTTTTCTGAACCCTTTTGTCAGGAGTACCCATCATTTGTGTGTGTTCACAAATACGTAATCTTAACTGCAAAACTTTCAAAATACCCTGAGTTGTTTTGAAGAAGATACACATCTCATTTTCTCCTTCCCTCTGTCTTTGCAGGTATGGTGTCAGTCCTGAGAATATAATTCTGTATGGACAAAGTATCGGAACTGTTCCCACTGTGGACTTGGCATCCCGGTATGAGTGCGCAGCTGTAATTCTTCATTCACCCTTGATGTCTGGGTTGCGGGTGGCTTTCCCGGACACTAGGAAAACATATTGCTTTGATGCTTTTCCAAGGTATGTGCAAAATTCTCTCTGAGGGAAGCATTCTTTATTGATGATCCTGAAAATGACTATGTACCTTTAAAAAAATCAAAACTAGCTTGTGGACACATTTGCTTCATTGACAGTACCTGTGGTGTCCTCAAGGGAGTGCGTGTGTACATTAGCCTGTGTAAACATGTACAGCAAACTTTGAATGCTTAGCCTGAAGGCAGTTCCTAACTCAGGAACAGATCACAAACTTTGCATGCATAAGGAAGCCGGTTCCAAGCTTTGACATCTCTCAATTAGAGTTATTCAGGTGAAAAAAATAAGAATGATCTCTAAGCAATGCAAAAGGTTATTATTACTTTGGCAGTGTATCTGTTCATATAGGGTAGTTTCTAGTTGTGTGATAGACTGTTGTCTCTCCCTGCATTTTAAAGCATACAGATATATTCTTTCCAGTGTGACAAGCCCGTCCCCTGAGCATTTATACTTTCAAAGGTTACTCCTAAGGCTTTGGGGCAGAGCTTGGGTGAAAAGAGCCAAGTCAAATAGCAGGTGAAAAACAGTAGTGGTAGAGACCAGCTTAACAGCAGAAACATTTTGTTTTCTGCAAACAGATTCCTTTCTAAATAGTTTAAATTTATTTTGTATATTAAATATTTTGCAATTCGAATTAATGCTTGCCTGCCTGGTCAGTGGCAAAATTGTTCATTGTAGTTTACACAGAAATCTTTTGTGTTTCCTGATATTGGTACTCCATTAAAATGTAGTCTCTGTAGATTTCTCCCGCTGCAGAGCAGTGTGGTTAGGAATACCAAGTAAGTCTAATGTGGTTTTTGAATGATGCCTTCCTGAGCAGCTGAGCTGCCGGTGCAATGTCTTCCTGTGTTTTTTCCAAGCTACAAATATTGTTTTTCTGAACTGCCTGACCTGGATGGACTGAATAACACTAACTATGGTAATGTTAAATCAGGATGTTATTGGGTTGCTGTGAGTTTTCTGGGCTGTCTGGCCATGTTCCAGAAGCATTTTCTCCTGACGTTTCACTCATATCTATGGCAGGCATCCTCAGAAGTTGTGAGGTTTGTTGGAAATTAGGCACGTGAGTTTTAGATATCTGTGGAATGTCCAGGGTGGGAGAAAGAACTCTTATCTGTCTGATTAGCGTTGAGTAGCCTTGCAGCTTCAAAGCCTGGCTGCTTCCTGCCTGGGGGAATCCTTTGTGGACAATTTCAATAGCAAGGAGGGAATAATGAAAATGAACAAAATCTGGCTACCAGTATTTAAAAGCTCTAAAATCAGGACTGTAAACAAAGAACAGCACTCAGAAAAGTGTGAATGCTGCCATTGATCACCTTGATTAGCATTTAATGGCCTAGTACCTTCAAAGCCTGACTGATTGCTTCCTGGGGGGGGATCCTTAGTCGGGAGATGTTCACTGGCCCTGATTGTTTTCTGTCTGGAATTCCCCTGTTTTTTTTAGTGTTGTTCTGTATTTACTGTCCTGATTTTAGAGATTTTTAATACTGGTGGCCAGATTTTGTTTATTTTCATGGTTTCCTCCTTTCTGTTGAGATTGTCCACATGCTTGTGGATTTCAATGGCTTCTCTGTATAGCCTGACTTGGTAGTTATGAGAGTGGTCCAGCATTTCTGTGTTCTCAAATAAAATGCTGTGTCCAGGCTGGTTCATCAGGTGCTCTGCTATGGCTGATTTCTCTGGTTGAAGGAGTCTGCAGTGGCTTTCATGTTCCTTGATTCGTGTGTTGGGCAATGCTGCTGCGTTTGGTGGTCCCTCTGTAGACTTGTCCACAGCTGCATGGTATACGGTAGACTCCTGCAGAAGTGAGAGGATCCCTCTTGTCCTTTGCTGAACGTAGCATTTCTTGGATTTACTTCGTGGGTCTGTAGATAGTTTGTAGGTTATGTTTCTTCATCAGTTTCCCTATGTGGTCAATGGGTTATATATACACTCTGGTTACATCCCATATAGACTACTGCAACGTGCTCTACGTGGGGTTGCCTTTGAAAACTGTCTGGAAGCTTCAAATGATCCAACGATTGGCAGCCAGATTGCTAACAGGAGTGGTGCTCAGGGAGTGTACAACTCCTCTGTTGCGCCAGCTCCATTGGCTGCCAGTTTGCTACCGGGCACAATTCAAAGTGCTGGCTTTAGCCTATAAAGCCCTAAACAGTTCTGGCCCAACTTACATGTCCGAATGCATCTCCCCTTATGAACCATCTAGGACCTTAAGATTGTCTGGGGAGGCCCTGCTCTCGTTACCGCCTTTGTCACAAGTATGTTTGGCGGAGACGAGAGACAGGGCCTCTTCTCGGTGGTGGCCCCTTGGCTGTGGAACACCCTCCCTATAGATATTAGATTGGCCACCTCCCTTTTAACATTCCGGAAAAAAGTCAAGACGTGGCTTTTTGAACAAGCGTTTGCAAATGCAGAGTAACTGACAGGAAAATGGAACGACTAGACAATGAGTCCAGACAACGTTTTTAACAAGGAGACACTATGAATTTATATTTTATTGATTTGTTTAGTTTTTATTATATGTTATGTTTTTAATTGTATTTATGACATTGTAAGCATTGAGTTTTGCCCTGTTGGCCCTGTTAACTGCCTTGAGTCGCCTACGGGCTGAGAAAGGCGGCATACAAATACAGAAAATAAATAATCTTACGCTATTGCTCCCTCAACGTTCTTGTCCTAGGAGTACCCCCCCCCCCCTTGTACGAAGGTCTGTTTATTTCCCTGTCTCTCTATGAGTTCTCCCTTACAAATAATTCTGCTCCTTTATCTCACCCTGATTTTTTAAATCATTTTATGTACATGCGGCCCGCTCACCGTCATTATGTTTGGTTTACTGCTTTTTTTTCTTTATGTTTTGTGTATATTGTTTATATGCTTATATGTTTTATACTTCAATGCTTTGTTGTTTATTTTTTTTGCAATTTGTATCTTCATTTTATTGTAATTTGTTGTTTGGGCTTGGCCTCGTGTAAGCCGCCCCGAGTCCCCGTTGGGGGAGATGGTGGCGGGGTATAAATAAAGATGATGATGATGATGATGATGATGATGATGATTATTATAAATAGATAAAATATACACTGTGCTTTCCCCCTGGATTAAGCAGTAGGGCAATGCACCGACAAAATCCCTGTCACAGCTACCCACTTTTAAGTATATACACTCAAACCCTGCCAAGTGTGGGAGAGGGCCTGACCGTAATAATAATAATAATAATAATAATAATAATAATACACTTTATTTGGGAGCCGGCGCAGTGGGTTAAACTGCTGAGCATGTTGATCAAAAGGTCGCAGGTTCGATTCCGGGGAGCGGCATGAGCTTCCGCTGTCAGCCCTAGCTTCTGCCAACCTAGCAGTTCGAAAACATGCAAATGTGAGTAGATCAATAGGTACCGCTCCGGCGGGAAGGTAAGTGCTCCATGCAGTCATGCCAGCCACATGACCTTGGAGGTGTCTATGGACAACGCTGGCTCTTTTGGCTTAGAAATGGAGATGAGCACACCACCCCAGAGTCAGACATATACACAAATATAATAATAATAATAATAATAACACTTTATTTGTACCCCACTACCATCTCCCCAAGGGACTTGGTGCGGCTTACATGAGGCAGAGCCCGAACACAACAATACAAGCAATAATCACAACAATACAAGCAATTAAAATAAAACATAAACATATAACATTATCAATAAGACAACATACAATTAAAACTATGGGAAGGCCAAATGTAAAATTAAAATTGAAAATAGTGCTGAACGTGGACGAAAAGATGATAGTGGTGTTTGTGGAAACCCCTAACCCCAAACATACAAAACAAAACACTTGTGGTATTACTGGTGGTATTACTTCTCCAACCTGTGATCTTGAGTTGCAAACCCCACCTGTGTTTTCTCGTTGCTCAACTAATGTGTCCTGATCTCTTGGTTTTCTTTTTCTGCTTCCGCAGCATTGACAAGATTTCTAAAGTCACCTCTCCTGTGTTGGTGATCCATGGCACCGAAGACGAAGTCATCGATTTCTCCCATGGTTTGGCAATGTACGAGCGATGTCCCCGAGCGGTGGAGCCCCTCTGGGTGGAAGGGGCTGGCCACAACGACATAGAGCTTTATGCACAGTATCTAGAACGGCTAAAACAGTTCATATCACACGAACTCCCGAACTCCTGAAGAAAACCAACTTGATCTCTCTCTTTTTTCCTTTCTTCTTTTTTTTTTTACCTCAGTTAACTGTGAATGGAAGAATTTACCTGTTTTTGCACATGCATTAACTGGATTAGCTGTAATAGCTTTATAACTATGAAGAAATGCCCTCACATTGGGGCGGATCCAAGTGAGTCTTTTTTATATATATCAGGAAACTATTGTAACAGTCACTACTGTAATCCCCAGTGATTTTTATAATAAAAGAAACCTTCATTAATGCTAGAAGAGTTGTGGAAAGAAGACTAGCTTTGAATACGAGGATATTACTAGTCCAATATAATAATAATTATAATTATAATAATGCGTCCGACCTTTCCCTATCCCGCCCATGACATGTTGCTTGTCTCATTCTTTCAAATGCTTCCCACCGTCTAGAATGCCAGCGAGCCTGCACTTCAGCTTCCTATTTCGTTTATGGATTTGTCTAAAAAAGCATCACTCTCCATGCAACATTTCTAACTGTGCTATTATCGTAACTGGAATGTTTTTGTGGTGATTTCGCATTGTGGTTTGGGGGATATATTTTTTTTCTCTTTGTGGGCAGCTTTGGCTTTCCCAGTAAATCATTTAATAAATCCTGGGCACACGCATCATTTGCAAATGGAGCCAATTCGGGAACGTTTTGTCCGTTTTCTGCATATTTAGAACATGTAATATTCTTAAAAAGTCTATAATGATTGACGGCTAACCCTTTTCGTTCTTTTTACTTCAAAATGTGTAAATTCAGTCCGAACGAGAGCCGATTTTTGAATTTCCTTGTGTAAAGCATTCCTGATAGAAGTTTTTAAAAATATTGTACATATGCGAATTTACATTATGCATAATTCCTGAACGGTAGTTTTGAATTTTAAGTCTAGTTAATAAATTCTGGTTTGTATATTAATGTTTTGTTATAAGTTTGTATCCCTGCATTATTTTGCTAAATAAAATTTTTTATAAGATTTCCGAGACAGCTAAAAATAATACATATTTACTTTTGATGAATTTATGTAAAAAAAAAAAAAGCAATTTTAATTAAAACTGATCTTTTTTTGTTTAGGGAATTTTTTTCATTCTGACACTGGAATCGCACAGAATATGCAAGACACTTAAAATCATTACACTATAGGGCCTGTGGGGTTTTCTCCCCATATTGCACGGCCTTAAATGTACTGTAAGCCTCTGATTGTTGTAAAAATGGATTGGGATTGATTATGGTTTGTGTATTTGTTGCCGGAATGCAACAACAGTGGTTGTAATGGAATAAAGGATGCATGGAGTAAAAAACAGTGGATGCCTCTTCATTTTGTTCTGTGAATAGATTTGCACTTTACCATTGTCCCTGCCCTATAGATCAGTGTTTCTCAATCTGGGAGTCGGGACCCCTGGGCAGGTCGCGAGGGGGTGTCAGAGGGGTCACCAAAGACCATCAGAAATACAGTATTTTCTGTTGGTCATGGGAGTTCTGTGTGCCATGTTTGGTTCAATCCCATAGTGGAGTTCAGAATGCTCTTTGATTGTAGGTGAACTATAAATCCCAGCAACTACAACTCCCAAATGTCAAGGTCTATTTTCCCCAAACTCCGCCAGTGTTCACATTTGGGCATATTGAGTATTTGTGCCAAGTTTGGTCCAGATCCATCATTGTTTGAGTCCACAGTGCTCTCTGGATGTAGGTGAACTACAACTCCAAAACTCAAGGTCAATGCCCACCAAACCCTTCCAGTATTTTCTCTTGGTCATGGGAGTTCTGTGTGCTAAGTTTGGTTCAACTCCATCATTGATGGAGTTCAGAATGCTCTTTGATTGTAGGTTAACTATAAATCCCAGCAACTACAACTCCCAAATGACAAAATCAACCCTCCCCACCCCAACCCTACCAGTATTTAAATTTCAGCATATCAGGTATTTTTGCCAAATTTGGTCAAGTGAATGAAAATACATCTTGCATATCTGATATTTACATGATGATTCTTAACAGTAGCAAGAATACAGTTATGAAGTACCAACAAAATAATGTTATGGTTGGGGGTCACCACAACATGAGGAACTTTACTAAGGGGTCGCAGCATCAGGAAGGTTGAGAACTACTGCTATAGATGTATTGCTCTAATTGACCTAGCCCTCCTAGGCCAATCTTATCATCTGGCTCCAGCACTTTTCTATCACCACTGTCCTTACAACTGTATTGCACAAGTCCTGCCTCACCCATGAGCTTAGTACAGGTATGGGCAAACCCAGGCCCAAGGGCCGGATGCAGTGCCATGGGCACTTTTCTCAGCCCCCACCCCTCTCACATCTTCCTATCCTTCCTTCCTCTTTCCTTCTTTCTTCCTTCCATCCATCCCTCCCTTCCTTCCTTATCTCTCTTCCCTTCCCTTCTTCCTTCCCTCTTTCTTCTCTTTTGTCTTTCCTTCCTTCTCTCTTTCCTCTCTCCCTTCCCTCCCTCCATTCCTTTCCAACCTTCCTACTTTCCATCCTTCTCTTCCTCTCTTCTCTTTTTCCTTCCTCCTTTCCTCTTGAGGGATGTTTACCTGGGAGAAAAGAAGGTGGAGAGGGACCACAAGAACCATGTTTCAAGATTTTAAAGGGTGTCCCATTGAGGAGGGGGCAAGGAACTGATTTTCTGCTACTCTAGAGTCAGGGCACAAGAGAGGAATGGTTTCAAATGGCAGGGAAAGAGATTTCACTGAAAAGATTAGGAAGAACTTCTTGAGAGTAAGAGCTGTTGTAGAGTGGCCTAGGTGGCCTCAGTGTGTGGTGGAGTCTCCATCTCTGGAGGCTTTCCCACAGAAGCTGTCTATTGGGAGTCCTTTGTGCCTTCTTGCATGTCAGGGGGCTGGACTGGAAGGCCCTTAGAGATCTCTTCCAGTTCTAGGATTTTATATCACGAATAGGCAATATAGAATCTAATGGATACGCATTTTCTCTCCTATACACCATCTCATCCTGACCAAAGCCAACCCTTTTGAGATCCAAACATTTCCCATCTTTCCTTCACTTTCTACCTCCAAAAGAGAAGAGGAAGGAAAGGAAAGCGCAGGGAGGGGGCTTGGGGAGAACCCCCCCCCCTTCCTGGCCCACACATCCCAATCCGGACCGCCATGCGGCCCCCAAATTAGAATGTTTGCCCATGCCTGGCTTAGTACATGGCAATTATATTAGGCTATTAGTTGTTGTTGTTTATGTTTTTATAATGTTTTCTATTTGTAATTTTTACTGTATTATATTTTAATTTTAATTGACCGGGCTTGTCTCACATAAGCCTCCCCAAATCCCTTTGGGGAAATGGTGGCGGAATAAAAAATAAAATTGTTATTATTATATCAGTGGTTCCCAACCTGTGGTCCGTGGACCACCAGTGATCTGCAACAAATAAAATATGGTCCTCAGCCTCACCATTACTACACCATTGCCTCAAAACCATACGGCAACGAGACCGACTGGTCTCTCGAAACCTTCTTATAGGGCCAAGGCAACAGGGATGTCGGGAGGGAAGAGGCTGACTACACTAGATTATTAAATATTGTTTTCTCTGGGCAAGCAGATTGTGAGTACTGCATGACATATGTTCTGTATCAGAAACTAGAGCTGATGTGGTCTAGCCAATGCAATTTTCCGAATCGGCACCCCAAATAGCCAAACCGAATCTGAAGTTGACCAAAAACTTATTCATAATCCTTTTGGTACTTACTTTACTTAGGCGATCCCTTGATGTCCAAGTAGGATGGTCTTCCAAGGTCAGCATTCTGGTGGGCCTGTAGGTGACTGTGGAGCCTTATTCTTGATTTGCATGTTCTCCTGCAGTGAGGGCATTGGTTTCCAGGTGGAAGGTGGAATTGGCTTGACGGGCCTTCCTCTTGGCACGTTTCTCGCTTTCACCCTCCATTTGTGCCTCTTCAGATTCTGCAGCACTGCTGTGACAGCTGACCTCCAGCTGGAGCATTCAAGGGCCAGGGCTTCCCAGTTCTCCGTGTCTATGCCAGAATGTTTAAGATTGGCTTTGAGCCCATCTTTAAATCTCTTTTCCTGCCCACCAACATTCAATTTTCCGTTCTTGAGTTTGGAGTAGAGCTTTGGGCGATGATGGTCGGGCGTCCGGACAACCTGGCTGGTCTAGCGGAGTTGGTGGCAGAGGACCATCGCTTCAATGCTGGTGGTCTTTGCTTCTTCCAGCATTCTGATATTTGTCCGCTTGTCTTCCCAAGAGATTTGCAGTATTTTTCAGAGGCAACGCTGATGGAATCGTTCTAGGAGTTGCATGTGACATCTGTAGACAGTCTACGTCTCGCAGGCGTATAGCAGGGTTGGGAGGACAATAGCTTTATAAACAAGCACCTTGGTATCCCTACGGATGTCAAACACTCTCTTTTGGTACTAATGTTGGAGAGTAGTCCCTGGTCAAAAAAAGATATATTATTATTTACCAAAGGTTGAGAGCATAAGGATGACTTGTGTTGCAGTGTGATTTGGTGGTTATAGTGCTAGGCTTGAATGTTGAGGTCCTGCATTCAGATTCCTAACTCATTTGAGAAGATACTTTGGTCACAATTTGTTCTCCAGAAAATCCATATTCAGTCCTTTGCACCTCCAGTTCTGCTGCCAGTTCATTATATCATGGTGATGGCAGATGTGATCCAGTCAATTTTCTGAAAGTTTATAGCGTTAACAACTGATGATGAAAATTCACTTCCATGTGGATGGGGGACACACAACCTGACAGCCTGGTATTATTGACTTACTTCATCATAAGGGCATATATCAGGGGTCCTCAAACTTTTTAAACAGAGGGCCAGGTCACAGTCCCTCAAACTGTTGGAGGGCCAGATTATAATTTGGAAAAAAAAGTGAATGAATTCCTATGCAAACTGTACATATCTTACTTGTAGTGCAAAAACCTCTTAAAAACAATACAATAATTAAATAATAATTAAAATGAACTATTTTAACAAATATAGTATTTCAGTGGGAAGTGTGGGCCTGCTTTTGGCTGATGAGATAGGATTGTTATTGTTGTGTGCTTTCAAGTCATTTCAGACTTAGGATGACCCTGAGCGAGGGCTGGGTAAATAACCTTGGAGGGCCGTATTCGGCCCCCGGGCCTTAGTTTAAGTACCCCTGGCATATAGGATTGCAGATTGTGATAATGATGTCTCAGTAGAAGGGAGAAAAAAGGTCAAGATGTGGATATTTCTATTCCTGCTGTGAGTTTTCTGGGCTGTGGAGAATTCTGTGTACGAACCCACACGATCTCTTCAACCATCTGGAGAGGCCCTACTCGCACTCCCACCTCCATCGCAAGCGCGACTGGTGGGGACGAGGGACAGGGCCTTCTCGGTGGTGGCCCCTCGACTCTGGAACTCACTCCCCAAGGACATCAGGCATGCCCCAACTCTGGCAGTCTTTAGGAGGAGCCTGAAAACATGGTTGTTCCAGTGTGCCTTCCCAGAATAAGGAAACTCCCAGCAATATATCCCTCAATGCACTTTATTAGAGATCTAAGAATGTCTGTTCGCCCCATTCTTTTCTGAACATTAAGCAAAAAGTGGGCGCTAGAAACAATATCATACGAAAGCTGATTGGCACAACCTGGGGATCACAACCAGACACAGTGAAGACATCTGCCCTTGCGCTATGCTACTCTGCTGCTGAGTACGCATGCCCAGTGTGGAACACATCTCACCACACTAAAACAGTGGATGTGGCTCTTAATGAGACATCCCGCATTATCACGGGGTGTCTGCGCCCTACACCACTGGAGAAATTACACTGCTTAGCCGGTATTGCACCACCTGACATCCGCCGGGAAGTAGCAGCCAATAGTGAAAGGACCAAGGCAGAGACATCTCCAGCTCATCCCTTGTTTGGGTATCAGCCAGCACGTCAACGACTTAAATCAAGAAATAGTTTTCTAAGATCTACAGAGACACTCGGAACACCTCAGCAAGCGAGAGTCCAAAAGTGGCAGGCTCAAACCCAGAGCCTCAATCAATGGCTGATACCCAATGAGAGACTCCCTCCCGAGCACACAGAAGACTGGGTGACTTGGAAGGCGCTGAACAGACTGCGCTCTGGCACCACGAGATGCAGAGCCAACCTTCAGAAATGGGGCCACAAAGTGGAATCCTCGACATGCGAGTGGGGAGAAGAGCAAACCACTGACCACCTGCTGCAATGCAACCTGAGCCCTGCCACATGCACAATGGAGGACCTTCTTACAGCAACACCAGAGGCACTCCAAGTGGCCAGATACTGGTCAAAGGACATTTAACCAACTACCAAACTCA